ATTTACCTGTCACCAACGACTAGGCCACACTCTGGACAAACAACATCACCGGCTCGATGGTCCTCGACCAAGTGAACGTTTGGATGGATCGGACATTCAACCGAACTCATGCCTGAAATAGTAGCTCATAACTCTACCTAAAGTAATTCCTCACAGCGAACTAGCACCAAATAGGTAGATCTCGGTAAGAAACCGACTGTCATAGCAGAACAGTAGATTAGAAAGCATTTATTAGAACCAGGAAATAAGGATTACACGTCGAAACGGCTATCACATTACAGAAGATTATAGTTATCATATTACACATGAATTTGATTACAATATATTAACCATGCGAATAGTTAGAAAGCAAGCATTGCAGCTGTTGAGGCTTTCCCTCACGAAGAAGCAATCCCCATTCTTGAGTCAATAAACTTGGCCACTAAACTCTGTTCAGGTGGACTAAAGGGCATCAAGTTGAACAGTGAAGGGGACAAAAGTGTACTACACAAAGAGTTTACTGTACAATAGAGTAAATGCTCGCCACGTGCGAGCTCTTTAGCCAATTCCAGTTGATGGTTGTCCATGAGGTCCTCATTCACCACAACTATGAATGGGCGTTGTAGTCGAAGACACTCCAAACAAGTGCCAGCTCCTGCATGTCCGATAACTACCTTGAAAAAGGAAATAAACATGTGTTAATATCAACTGGAAAATGTGCAACAGTATTACCATGGCTTCTTTCATGTCGTCATGGATGCTCGGTTTGAAGCGATAGTACTCGACTGGTATACCACAGCTCTGAAAATTACTATCACAATGAAAGCTATAGTTAATTTCAACACTGTGAGTAATATGGAATAAAGCTTTCGACAGCGTTTGACTTCGCCATGACGCGCATCAACGCGCTGTAACACGCGTCAACTCACTACAATTGCAACAGCGCAACAATCCTATAGACGCGAACGCTACCGCTGACGGGGATCGATCGGCGCTGATGGCTCTGGTATTGAGAGAATATAGGGGAAGAGTAGGGTACACGTTTGCTGATCATGCAGACTGGTATGATCGACACTGGACGCTAGGGCTTTTGAGAGAGTACAGAAGAATGGAAAAGTATCAGATTGTCTGAAGGGAGCGCTTGCCCTCCATTGTTGCAACTGCAGCACATCGACGCGCGTTACAGTGCCTCGTCGCAAATTCTGAACGCTGCCTTGTATCGATCGAATGCCCTCCAACACGCGCCACGCATTTTACTTCCCAACAAGGAGTAGTTAATTAAATGCGATATGCCTCAAACAATGACTTGCGAGAACAGTCGGTGTACAGCCAGCATTTTTATCCTCCTGAACAGGTCTGGAACCGAACAGCTGACTCCGTAGAGACGATAGGCTTGACTGGCTAGGGCAGGAGTCAATCCGCGACCCTATTCCCTAATCGTGAGTGTGGTGAACGGCCACTACATCTTCATGCTACCATAGATTCTGTCACTGTTTCAACCGAAAGCTTTCTTCCTCTTGAGGTGATCGCGAATGCGTTTCCTCTAAATTTACGTTCCGGTCCTGGCTACTCAAGGTATGGTAAAAGCCTAGCTTTGGAGCCTACGAAATTGTTAGGTGGAATATTTATTCAATAATGCCTGAAGTTTCAATCACTAATGCCTGAAGTTTCAACAGAATCGTCGTCTCTAGAGTCTAAACATTCCGTTTCGAGTTGTAAATTTACGGACCTACTCACAAACATCTACAACTACTATGCCGAGGTTGCAAACAGAGAGGAGATGGAAAATTCTTACCTCTAGAGTTACGCATGAGTCCACCCGTAAGCCTTGCAATGCCACATTGGGGCTCTTAAAGCCAACCACCACGTTTGCACTAGGGACTTGCTGGTCTACCTCTAAAACTTTTTTGCTTCCGTCGGCTACGTGAATACTTGAACTTTTCGCCGTGTTGTCTGTCGCGAAAGGCTAGAGTGCAGACGGCTGAAGGACAGCGGCTGACTAGGACCTGAATGCAGGGTACAGCAGAGTGATGTGTGAAATGACGGTGACAGTACGACGCCCCGTCCCGAAAAAGGATCCTGTGCGACCCTCTTGCAGCTCTAATTGTTTGCTTTGAGGAGAACGATCGGATACGTAACGACTCGCATGCGTTTGCGGCCTCGTTATGATTCCATGGCGAATTAGCGATGGAGCAGATCCTTGGCCGGGTGAAAACTGCGAGGCTTTTCCTGCGGGTGACAGCTTTTTTGGGGGGTGGAACTTATGAGGAATGGAAGGCAGCATGTTGAAGCAATCTCTCTACTGTTGCGCTTTCAACCTTTCTGGCAACCTGAATCTTCCTCCATTCGTGATACTTCGGATGGGTCACGGACGCCCTAGTGGTAAATCGTGAGAGGGTTTTTATACTTCATACGAGAACGAACACTTAGACGAAATCAGTGAAAAAAATACCAGTACCTCTCCTTCTCCTTGATCCGCGACCACACCTCCGAAAACGCGTTGCCTGACTTCGTCGTTCCATTCACCAGCTCCGTACTGCACTGTGATTCTTTTCACACCCAAAGTCTTCAGCGTAGATGTACACGTTTCGCTCAATACCTTAAGTAAGATCTCTCAGAATAAAAATGCTTAAAATTTCAAAAGGGACCTACCTCATTTACCAGTTGATCAAACTTTGTTGTGCCAACTGTGACAAAACAGGTCATCTAGGAAAGATTTTTTTGAAGGATAACAAATGTAGTTTTTTTTCAACTTTTTCAGTAGACAGTGAAGTGATCACCATTGTTTCATTGACCAGTTCATGCAGCACATTTATTAAAGCATAACTGGAGAGTATAATGACTATTAAACAAATATTCTATTATAATGCCCGTATAACCTTGCTACCTATCGAAGGTGCTTTTTTCGATAAAATCTCAAACCGTAGAACATAGAAGTAGATGTGGGTTGATCACCAGTCATTTCGAAACTTCAAAATGATCGATTAGATACAAACAAAAGCAACAGATGGTAGCAGCCGAAAGTGTCAATCTTTTGCCCTGAGGGCCGAAGGCATGGTATGCCAAACCAGAAGCCGATCCTGGATCTGACCACACGACCGCGCGCTTAGTAAGGGTGCCACCTATCACTACACCACCGTTTTTAAATAAATCAGAGTAATAAACGGTGCAGGACGTAGACCGTTAATAACTAAAGGATCTGACACCAGATCGCCCAGTGCAGTCGACAGCAGACATGGATGTAAGCGCGCGATGCCGTGTCTCGGATCTCTTGAACGACACACAAGTTTGGAAGGCAAAGATGAGGAGAGATGAGATCAAGAGCTCGCAGGGTGACCCAGTGTAAAAACATTATAAAGCTAAGTGACAACAAAACAACGAAGAACAAAACGAACAGTAACAACATAAGCAACCTTTGATTCGTACCAGTACATACGGCAACGCATTAACTCGAGAACAAGAACCTCTCTTCTTCGTAACGCAACGCCTCGTCGATTCTAAGCCTCTGCAATAGCACTTATAGAACACTGTACAGTAACAGTCGAACACATGATTCAGGCAAATGATTTCGAAAAGGTGTGGCCCTTAAATCGGTTTTTCCTCCCGTTCTTAGTTAGCTGCTCTCAGTACGAACCCCAATTATACAAACAATATACACATACAGGGAGGGGGGGGGCAAAAAAAAAATCACTTTTCTTCATTGACTTTCGAGGCGCTATAAGTTACACTTTATAAATTCTGATCGGACATTTTTACCACCATATTTAACCACTCCTGATGCTTGTTATATATACAAATAAGCCTTGTCCTTTTAAGCACTACACACGAAACAGCGAAGTGGCTTCTTGCTAGCAGCCTTGTCTAAATCACTTGCTTTTTTCATTTGGTTTTTTTTGTTAAGTTCAGTGGGGTTTTTGTTTCGCCTAAGTTATTGCTCTATTAAGGTTGTGTCGCACTTTATTTCATTTTTTAAAAAGGTGCGCACAAATTTTTTTTTTTCTTTCGCATTTCTTCTCTTACTTAGTATATTGGCTGTGGTTTCTCGTACCCGGGTTCGCTAAGTTTACTTGACTTGTGGGCGCGTCCATTGGGCGCAAAATAAATAAATAAATTATATTAAAGAGGCGCATTTAAATACTATTATGACACTCCGCCACAGCCTTCTGGACGAGCGCCATCGAGAGATTCTGGCACGCGACCGCGATGTGGTGCCTGAGATCAGCGAGATAGTCGATTTCTCCGCCACCGTAGACCACCCTATTGAACTCCGCCCGAACCGGGTAATTGAGGGGATTCAGGTCAGGTGACCTACTTGGATATTCCATCTTCTTTAGGTACTCAGCCTCCTTCCATTCCAGAGAGTTTCTCCAATGCCCTTCGATTCCATGTGGTGGCACCCAATGCTGTAGCAGTACAAAGTTTCCAAGAAGGTACGGGCGACGACATGTGAGGAGGATATTCTTCACGAGTTGCTCAATGTACCGCCAGCGCTCACCTTCAGTCCGGGGTCCACGAAGAAAATATTGGTCTTTCCATTCCAGGTACGTCCGGTCCATACCATCAACCGCGCCTGGCGACTGGTGAAGATGATGTCCTAGACCGTGGCGACGTTGTCGGAGCTGCTCGATGTTGGAGGTCTTCCAGATCGAGAGTACTGGTCTCCAGGTAGCTATCCATGGGTGACTCCATACTAGAAGTTTCGCAGCTGTTTGGAGGTGACATGAATTCCAAAGGTCTTCTCCAGTCAGGCTGCGACTGGAGATGACTTCATATTTTGGTGTACATGAAGGTGATGGGCGAGAGCCAGCTCCTGCTTATCGAGGAACATCTTGGGTATCTTCCGCCCTGGTACTCGTATCCACGTCCTCTGTCTGGGCAGCGAAAACTTTGCTGATATGTGACTCGGTCGAAGTGACTTTTCTTTTGCCCCCCCCCTGTATATAAGATGTATTGTTGCAGATGAGTGCATTCACTAAATGTTGGCTGCGGTGTAAGGCTGCATTCAGAGCTTGCAAATTTACAAATTCAGCAGTTTGTGGGCATCAAGGACGAGGCATAAAGGCTCACGCTACTCCGAGTCTCGCGCACTGGGTTATATCTCGTGACAATTCAGGTTCAAGGAAGTAATGAAGTTCTCGGGCAGCTAAAATGCTCAAGTCTCCAACTGATGAAATAATCAGCTCTGATCGTCCCAGTGTGAGGGTACCACTTGTGCTCGGGGACAGTCAACCGTGTACAAAATGCCTGGTGGCAACCTGTGGACGATTCTTATACTTCTCGTTCGCAGCGCTCAGACTCGGTGAGGACGCGACGCGCGTACACACTGCCTTGCAACAGTGCTGCAGAGCTACAGGCAGAAGCACGGCCATAGATGTTTATCGATTGTTGCCAGTTGCTAGTGCTTTGGAGAATGTAAGAGAATGGGGATCACACAGCCTGGTACCTTCCTATTCTTGCATGCTGTGTCATCAAAAAACGTGTATTCTCACATTCTCTCGCACTCTCTCAAAGCAGTGGCGTTCGAAGCAGATCGATACCCGTCTATGGCTGCGTTCCTCCTGCAGCAATGGGGCGCAGTTGCAGTGGTAACGTGTCATCGCGCGTTAATGCGCGTCTTCACATGTCATCGAAGTAACGCTCAGGCGGTCGAAAGAGAATCGTAATTCGCCGCGCCAGTGGGTGTCGCGTGCGACGTCGCGCCAGTTAATGACGGCGATTTTAGGTGATATTGTAGAAGAGACAATGTATGACCAAAAATAGACTTAAGGGTCGGTCTACCATGACCTTGTCTACGTGAAATCCGATGCACTATTCGAAAGGGTAGTGTAGCTCAAAAGAAAACGTCGCGCCCATTACCGCCCGCGATGAAGCGGCAATTTACGATTCTCTTACCCGTCTCCCAAGAAACTACACACATATGCGGGCTACATGGTGGAGCTTAAAAATCCACCAGCCGCCACATATCTGGTTCAGTGTGAATAACATCTTAAGCTATTTCAACAACAAAATAAAACTCACCAACGAATGAATTACCAGTTTTTGAGAGCGGAGTTCAGACAAGATGTCGAACAGTTGAAATTTGACCTTCCTTTCCAATGACCCATCCTGGAACAATATGAGTTGAGCAGCTCCATAATCAATGTTTTCGCAAACGATTGAAGTGCAGACAGCGAAACATTTTCTACCAACTGTTACAGGTTCATGGTGGCACCAATTGGTGGAAGATGCAACCCCGTCTGCGTTCCAATCAATGACTTTCCAAACACTGTCTCTCTTTGCTGGAATAATGACTGACTTTCTTCGTAAAGATTATGAACAAAACTAGAAGGTAGGCGGAGCCAAGGTGGTTGAAGTGATTTCCTGCAACATGACCAGATAGCGCCCACTCTGCTTTTTTGCGCTCTGCAGGGTATAGCTTGTAAAGGAAGAATCACTGGGTTAACAGTATCTCGAAGAGAGACTGCAGCCGAGAAAAAAGGGCGTACAGTCATGTCGCTGCGGATGCTGGAGGCATTCAGTAGCTGAGTTCGGCGCGGCGTGAACCCATTTCCACCAAACATTGTCGTTTGCCGGATCTAACGATTGTTGGTGGAAAACTGGCCCGACACCGCTCCAAGCACGATTCGGCATCCACGCGAATAAGACTGTAACTACGTCGCGGTGCCGCGTAGCCTCCCTGATTACCTTGACCCTGATCCCATCTATTTGCAGTCTCTAAAACGAACTATAGGCTGTTCTAAACAAGGACTTTCGAAAAAAAACCTTCTCGATACAGGAAACTCTCACAACAACGACATTGCCCTCAGCAGATCTACTGCAATGCTACATTGCGCAACCGATCAACTGCTTAATCGGAAATCCAGAAGCCTACTAAGCTTTCAAAAGCACGCTTCTGCTTAAGAAAGTGGGGTTGTTTGACTGACATACTAAAGAAAAAACCAGGCTCACAATGCTCTGTATAGAATCCCATAGGGAACCGCGCTTGTAAGCCGAGAGGAGAAAAAAGAGCGCGGCCAGTCGAAATCTCCCTTGTTGGTATAAGCTCTTTTTCCCTATCACCTCACTTTCGCTATTCGAAATGCAGAGGTTGGTAGCGAAACAACCGCACCTCGGGTAGCAGTCAAAAATGAAAATGAGGCGCTGCCGCGGAGCCGTGGTCCCGTCGTGAGCGGCTCGCTCTTTCCTCAGGTACTTCTGAGCTGCTAACCTAGTACGAAAACTCACTGTTGGAACAAAACCATTCCTACACATGGTGTTCAAATGCTGTACCAAGCGTTCCACAGCACGAGATTGAATCTCCATTCTTTGGACAATGGCAAGGATGTTCTTGTTTTCCTCACAACATTTGCTGTCTGCAGAAGTGAGTGAGTCATCATCCATGCTGAAACAACAGATGGCATGTGAAATTATGGACGGAGGTCGACAGAATGCTTTTTTACTTTTTCACATTGCAATACAGTTTCACATTTCTATTGCTAAATTATGCACTGTAAGGAATCCGCACCCTAGAGAAAATCTGTTCTCAAGAACAAGTTCTGGTGCAAAATTTCTTACTCGGAAAATGTTGGAGAGCCATTCACTTCTCGATCGACCCTGGATTTCTTCACTGAGGTTCTGTCGCTGGTTGAGCGCCTGAAACTTTTTTGGACACGACAATAAAATCCCATGAAATCACGTAGTTCTGTTTGCAGCGGATGCTGAGACGTGTAAAGGAATGTTTTTGGCGCGGTGCCAGCCTTTTCCTCAGCAACTATGGGAGCTAGCACGCGACTCAAATTGATGGAGCGGGCTGGCGCCGCGCCCAACCCACTCCTCCCCCTTACACGCCTCAGCATTCGCTGCGAACAAGGTCATGAGTCAAGACATCCAATTGCGGTGGTGCAGCGAAGGCAACGTGCTCGCCGCGGTGTTGGCTGTGTCTCAATTAAGCTAGCACCCAACCACGTCTCAAAGCTGGGGTACAAATTCTCATTCTCCTCTTTTATCTTTATTTTTTATTCAACCAGAATCATTATTTATTTTGTGTGTTCGATATTTGAGCATGCCAGCATTTACTAGTTGCCGAGCAGTTTTTTGGTAATCACTTTATACAAAGGTGAAATGTGCACAGCAGGTCCTACGGTGACTTGTGTACCTAGCCAATGTATTGTGTATTTCAAGCGAATGTCTGCCAAGGGACAGAGAGATGAGAGAGATTCGCAGAAGACGAGAGAGAGAGAGAGGGAGAAGAGAGAGAGAGGAGAGAAGAGAGAGGAGGAGAGGAGAGAGAGATGAGAAGCTTCTGCAAGGGACAAACGAAGGCGAGAGAGAGTGAGAGAGAGGAGAGAGAGAGAGAGCAGAGAGAGTGAGAGAGAGAACCGCTTCAAGAAGCGCTGCGCGCGATGCCCCGTTAATAGAGCAATACGGATGTCCTGACCTCAATTCAGGCTGGTTTGGCATCTTTATGATTACCAAATAGCTATCGTCAATTGAGCTTATCGTAGCTGAACCAAACATACCTCCTTTTCAATTGCAATTGACCCGAAGAATCAAGTCCTGAAAAAATAATGAAAGAGAGCATGGAAGAGATATTTCATATAAGTTCGCATGCTCACAAAAGGTTTTATCATCTTTCATCATTCTATAATCATTAAACCTATTGTAATTACTGTAATTAATTAATTTCTTCAGCGAACAAAAAAAGTAATGAATCTGAACAGGCGGAATTCCTCCTATGACAAGTACTGTAAAGCATAAATTTAGGCGCAGTCGGTTATGTGGGAGCACCAAATGGTACTCAGCGAAGCTAGTTCAAGCCAGCCTTCGAAGGTCTGAATTCCTGTGACCAAAGTAGCTTCTTTTTACCACCAGTTTGGCTGACGTGCACTACTGCGCGTTCAACCATGGTACTAATTACTGACAGGATTACTATTTTGATCACTAACATTTGGCTTAATTCCGTATTTCGAAATACGCCCCATTCCATCATATTTCACCTTTTTGATGAGCATTCGCCAATGTCTGCTACTCATTTATAAGAACATCCACCGTCGGAAAAAGGACAGCTCAGCCTCGAAAGAATTTTGAGGTAGCAATATCGATATCATGGTGAAATACCATTACTCCTAGTGCTCCCGTCAAACAGCTTTTACATATTAGTCTGTTGGTGGCTCTTATCAATCCTCACTGACAAACAACTCCACGCCTTTACCTTTTGTTGGAATCGAAAGTTCAGCGGTCAAATCAATTTCGACTATATAGCTAAAGTAGAAATTGCTGGCTCACTAAGCCTTTGCCCATTGATTCTTGAACCACGGTGGTCAAGCTCAGTCGCAAGCAGGGTCGGCAGGCAAAAGATTCTGACTCTTATAAGCCCTTATCGGGCACTATTAGGC